GGCCAATCAGTCGGGTACGGTTTTTCGGCAGATCTCAAAGCCCCAAAGCAATAAGGTTGTGGGGAGAGGCAGAGCTGACCCGCAGAGGTACTGGCGGGATAACAAAAACCCGAGTGTTTAGATGGGTGCACTCGAAGGAAATCCAGTTCTCGGAAACATGGAGAATCAAAATTTTAAACTTCTTTTGAGATTGGTGGAGGTTTGGCCTCTAAATACCTTTGCAAAGCAAATTTTTATTATCTCTTTGTAGATTCTTGTGGCGCGAATCAATCTTCCCTCTTCCCTCTTCCTCTCCCTCTCTAATCCTGCCTTTAATAAGATGTTTATGCTCCTACACCTACCTCCTCTGTGATATACCCAAGATAGTCTCGCTGCTTCACCTTTCCTTTTCCCACTGTGAATTATTCATCTCTCCCGACCTGCCGCGGAGCCCCGGAGAAGTCTCTTTAATCAGACGTCTTTATCCTCCCATCGCCGGCACATCCGTCGGCAGCGGCGCAGCCAGCGTGGGAACGCATCGCTGGTAATCACGCTGCTAAGTTTAGGGGCAAAAACCGGTGTGTGATTAGGTTGGAATACATCGCGGCAGCTTAATTGTCAGGCTGCGGTTTATTTTGTGCGCTTAAGTTAAAGAAGGGGGGGCGGGGGGGGGAAGGTTCATTAATGAGAAAAGAGCAAAGACGTGTGCTCGTTGCTGGGGGAGGGTAAACTCGCTGCGCTGGTGATGCCGTATTTTGAGCAAAATCTACAGCACCCGAGCCCTTCCCTGGGCCTTCGGCTTTGCTGTTTGCATGCCGTGCCGGAGCTTTGCAAAGGAGGAGGAACAGAGAGGCGGCCCCGGCGCTGGCAGCGTGCTGGCTCCGTGCCGAAGACGTCTAAGGTTCAAACAGGAGCGAGACCGGCTGCCCCCGCACCGGAGCCTCCCGCCGCGGTCCCCACCACTGCCGCCGGGCTCCCTGCTTCGAGCCAATCTTCAGTAATTAAAGAGCAGGGTAAGAGCAGCCGTGACAGAAGCAATTCCACCATGTGTCGGACCTTCCTTTGCGCCAACCCGAGCGCCCGGAGCTGTGCGAGTCTGGTTTAGGGGTGCTCTTCTTTTTCATTTCTTCAGCATCAGCCGTGGGAAACTCCTCTGCCAAATTTCACCTGTGCAACAGTTTGTTCAAATCTGCCAATTGACGTTTATGTCGTTGTATTAATCATAGAGTCATAGAATCATGGAATGTTCTAGGTGGGAAGGGACCCCTAAAGGTCACCCAGCCCAACCCCCCTGCAGGAGCAGGGACACCTTGAACCACATCAGGTTGCTCACAGCCCCGGCCAACCTGGCATGGAATG